TGTTTCGAAAATCTCTTTATTTCGGCAGCCGTTTTGTCGTGTTTAGATAGATTTTGATCTGACCGCTACCCTTTTTCAAAATTTCTGCTAGCCGTCAATTGACATTGATTGTTGTTAGCAATTTGTGATAAGGGGGGACAAAAAACATCGACAAAAAACGCACTTATCAGCTAATTACCATACGTTCAATTTCAGTTGTGTAACTTTAAAAACTTTGGTAATAGCAAAACGCTTAGGCTCGAATAAGAGCAATCATCTAGAACGTTTTTAAAGTTACACAGTTGAAATTGAACGTATGGTAGTTAGCTGGTAAGTGCGTTTTTTGTCGATTTCGCCCATCCATAACGCATGATTATATTTTCAGGTGCATTGAACGCTCAAAATATCGTCTCGGCTCTGTCTTAGTTACTTAATAATAATCTTTCTATTAGTACGTCATCTCCAGTGACAGTGTCAGAGCTTCAAATGGCTGAACATTTAGCTGATACAATACAACTAGTGAGCCAATCTCAACGAGTTTATTACGAGGAGGAAACTACTATCGACATCGGCGAGGTGTCTAATAAAGATGAAAGTGATGGAGACGAGGAAAAATTTGGTGAAGATAAGGATACTGAGGACACAGATCCGCACTGGAGTGACGAAAGTCTTGCACGGGAAAAGTTGGGTTTAAAAGAATATTCTCAGGACTATATGCGTGATTACTTGTGGCTTGTTAAACCTAGTGCTTTATAAGATCTTTCAACCAACACTTAGGATGTCTGTAAGCTACTAACTCACTACGAGCAATCATCTAGAACGAACAGGAAAAGCTTTTTATTAAACAATTTTAAGGGAAAACGGCGAAAAACTTTGAATTTCAAAAGAACTTTTGTCCTCGGTATTTCGTGTTTTTACCTGAAAACCAAGCTTAAAAACCCTCCAGTCACCTTTAAAAGTAGTTTTCCGTCGGTTTTGCGCTATGCTCTTTCATAAGGATACACGGAAAAATTTTGTGTCGCAAAAGGTTTTTGAGCCTGAAGACCTGGCTGGAAAACCGGCTCACAAATCCAACATTAACCCAAACGGTGGTGATATTCGGATTCAGCACCCTCGATTACCTATTGTCCACTGAGTTTCAGTTCGAAAGCGATTTCAAAGTTGGGGACCTTCCCTCGTAAGTTTAGCATCAGTCTGTGATGCTGAGTCTGATCTGTAGCAGCAGAAAAGAATGAAAACTTTTCTATTTAGACGTGCAACATCGCCATAATCTATTTCTTGAACAACAAATATTAAGATTGAATGGTTCTTTTTCGCCAGCCGCCAATTTTCCCGTCAAAAATATAAAAAAGGAGAAGGACAAATTTGATTGATCAATTTTCTGAAATCTAGTTCGTAGAAAAATCGATCAA